TTACGTTCAGACAATGTCATGCAATGCACGTAGTTGGTCGGTAAGAATTCTAACACATTAGTAACAAAGCAATGAATGCAACCTTCGGAAAATCAAGTGCAATGGTCAGATGCCCTGCCAACGTTGCGGGCACCTCTCTCTAGAATGTAAGTCCTCCTGCGTTGGTCCATGGAGGGACCTATGTGTTTTAACTATGACCAGAAGCTCATATTTAATGCCATAGGTCTTTATGCTCCTAACTGCTGCACTCGTAGCATCAAAGATTCAGAGTAAGTACTAGCAGTCTTGCAGATTTCTGGTTCTCCTTGATATATCCAGGTAGATGGTGATATTTAGCTGGAGCATTTGCTGTATCTTCTTACAGCGACCCTCTCTAATGCGGTTCATCTTGCTCTAGGGAATTTCGTTCTATGAAGGAGCACATCGAGACGTTACAAGACCAAGTGAATACCTTGTTTGCTAATATCAACGAGCTATATCACAAAACCGACTCACCAGGCATTGAATCCAGTGCCTACGGCCGAGAAGGTTCACAATGCCTCTCCCAGCCAAGTTATGATTCTCAAACCCATATTTCATCACGGGCTCGCTCGAATCATCCTCGTTTTCATGGGCCCACGAGCACTACCTTCAATCTCCATGTTGCCAAGTCAAGCCTACAAACAATGGGAATTACTCCGGCTGAGGATGGAAACCTTGAATTGTTTGCTGGCCAGGATGCAACGCCTTCTGGTTCCCCTCCCCTGCGATCACAGCAACTGCCGCATATCCCACAGCTTCTGGCCCATCCGAATAAAGATCCATTATGGATAATAAAACGTGAGGAAGCAATTAGGTTATGTCGGGTTTACGAACGCGAAATCGGAATCATGTATCCATTCCTCGATATTGAGAGTTTAATTACGCACACTAACCTGCTCTTCACGTTCCTGGAGGCCGCGTCTCGGACAGGCTTTACGAAACGCTTTAAACCTGGCCCTGATATGCTGACTGATGATGACACCTGTATCCTTAAGATGGTCCTTGCAATTACGTTAATTGTTGAAGGCAATGGCCAAAGCGCCCTAGGGACCCGGTTATTTACTACGACAAAACAGAGGATTGAGATGAAACTGTGGGAGCCAACTGATATTCGAACGATCCAATCATTCACTCTCATGGTATGCTGATCATTGCGAGATGGCTTGATATTCTGTCTAAGTAGCGTTGCTGTTAGCTTACCAGGTTCTAGGCCACATACTATTTTCATACCGATGAAGACCCTATGTCTTATCGATTTATAGGCCATGCCACCCGCATGTGTCTTGAGCTTGGTTTACATCGAAGAGATGGTATGTTTAAAGTTTGTCCAAACGAAGCGGACGTACCTTCTGTCGTTAAGTTGTTTTGGTCTGTCTACAGCTTGGATCGACGTTGGAGTTTTGGAATGGGATTGCCGTTCATCATTCAGGATGAGGATATAGATGCATCTTTACCGGAACCCGTGAGCTCCCTCATCCCTAAATTTTACATGACGAAGATATTATTTTAACTGACTGGCGATCGCGAAACTCTAAACAGGATGATTCTGTACCATATCTGAAAGCCATGATATCATATTGTCGTATTAGCTCTAAAATTTGGTACTCTGGTTTGGGCTCTGCAGGCACTACGACTGCCAAAAGAGAAGTAGTTGGCTTCCTGGACTATCAGGTCCTCCAATGGCTGAAGAGCGTCCCAGAGAATCTGAGGTTCTATTCGCCCGGGCATCCTGAAAATGGTGACGGCGTCGATAGAGAGACCCGACGTTTGCGCGTACTACTATACATTCGCGGCAATCACATGAGAATACTAATTTACCGTCCTGTACTACATTCCACTAGTGGCATCCTTGAGAACATGGGATACGCCCAAACTGTCGTCGATATTGCCAAAGACACCATTCGCGTCCTCACCCACCTCAACCAAACATCCGACATCTATCGCTCTCATCAGATGCTCTTCAACTACTTCCTCGTCTCTGCGCTGGCAGTCCTTCTCCTCGCTGTGTCCCATGCTCCTGCCGATTTCAATCGCCAGGTACGGGACGAGTTCTACATGGCCCTGGACCTAGTAAAAGGGTTCAGTGCGAAATCATACGTTTCGAAGCGCTTGTGGAAAATGATCAAAGGGTTACGGGGAATTGGAGAGAAGCTTGGCCTCCTCAATCGCCCCGGCCCGCCCGATCAGAATGACCCTCATTCAACAGCAGCTGTTGCAATGGCCGGACTAGCCGGCCATCCCATGGACGTGATGACTGCCAGTGTGTATCGCGACATGAACCCACGCGGTGAGCTGGGTGATGGCCCGCAGGATGGCATTCAGATGAGTAATGAGCTGACGAATTTGTTCGAGGCTGTCGGGGGTTACGGCGGTTTTTTGACTCAGACTAGCAGTGGCGGAGACGGAGATGCGATTAATGGCGAAATTGTCAATGCTCAGGGGGATCTGCCCAACGCAGAGGGCTTGGGCTCTATTCTCGGGAATGAAGCAGAGTTTTCTCGAATCATGCGAGATGTATTCTAGATGACGGATGGCTCCGCCATTTTTGTTTTAACAGAAGTCTCCTTACTAATGTTTAACGTATTATATTTATGGGCGGGTATGGGTCTTTGTACATGTACATACTATAACTATATCGACTGGCTTATGCATGATTTCCCTTCAAAACTATTAGGCCACTAGGGCAAAAGAGCTCGATCACCACCAGCGCCGTGGTGGTATAGAGGGTACGTATCACCCAAAAAAGGACTTCAAGGCCCCTTCATGACTAAGCAGTTTATTTTTACCAATATATCATGTGACTATCGCCGACCACCTTGAGCATCATTTTCTGGATATCGCAGCGAAGAGAGAAAAACGAGACAGCAGAGGAAATACAGACAAAAGGACTGGGCCCCAAGAACCCATGTAGCTTATCATTGGCATTTCAGGTGCGCCCTTGCCCCGTAACCCATCTTGCCTAGCAGTCCAACATAATATGTTGTTGGGTCTGTCTGCATGACCTAACTCCAGGCTGCTTGAGCAGGAACCGACTTCCTCTCGCACACAAACACATATGCTTGTCACAACACGGAATCCTTGTTTCAATCCCCGTTTCCACCTCCTAGAACATCCTTTGTAATTTCTCCCTTCGACACTCCTTTTCGGCTGAGCCCTCAATCTCGACGGGGCCGTGCCGCCGGGCGTCAAACAATTCCACTTGCTCAAGAGTTTTGTCCCGCACCCCAGCTGGGTACCCCTCAATTTTGATAATCGGCAAAAGGACAAAAATTCGCACACTTTCGGCCGCTCGCGGAAAGCGGACCGATTGAAAGGCCTCGATATATCGGTGGACATCGCAGAGGATATCGTTACCAATAAATCCATTGGGAATTTTGACGCCTCCAGTTTACGGCATGATCCTGCCCTCTTGAGCGAGGTCGAAGCCCACCAATCTTCCCCTTCCGCCATTTCCACCCACGATACAATATCCTCCAAGGTCCCACGCCCCCAATTTTATTACGAGAGGATCATTCGAGCCCAGGGACATCTTGTCGGAAATCACGCCCTCATCATTAGCTGAAGGCCTGGACCGGCTGGACCTTAGCCAAGTTTCAACATCCACGCCGTCCAGATCAACCTTCAGCTCCTTCACCATGTCGGACACCGACGGGTCCCCGGATACCTGGATTTCGTCATATTGCTCACTGATGGGCCATGAGTTTTTTGCGGAAGTGTCGGAAGACTTCATCGAAGATGATTTCAATTTGACCGGCTTGCAGTCCCAGGTTCCCTGGTACAAAGAGGCGCTTGAATTGATCCTAGATGTGGAGCCTGAGGAGGATGAGGAGGACGAAGATGACGATGAGGAGGACGAGGACGAGGACGCTCTACTGGCAGGTGATAGGCTTCCCGGGTATAGGAGAACGGGCGAGCGAAAACATTCGCGTGTCGCCAGTGATCTGAGTGTGATTGAGAGCTCGGCAGAGTTACTGTACGGATTGATTCACCAACGGTATATTACCTCGAGGCCTGGCATTCAACAAATGTTAGAGAAGTACGAGCTGCAGCATTTTGGCGTGTGCCCTCGAGTTTACTGCAATGGATGCAAGGTACTCCCCGTCGGAATTACGGACACACCGGGTGTTGATACTGTCAAACTCTTCTGTCCAAGTTGTCAGGATATATACACACCACCGAACAGCAGATTTCAGTCAGTCGATGGCGCATTCTTCGGCACCACATTCGGCTGTCTCTTTTTGATGACATTCCCGGAGCTCGATGTCGCAGGTCAAAACGAAAGCTTGTCCCCTACCCAGACCTACCATTCAACAACAACAAACACCCGGCATACACCGTCCATAACCTCCCCAACAACACCCTCTATCTCCCAAGCCCTTTCACCCCAGCCCGCCCAGATAAACGGCATGATGATATCATACCTTTGCCCAGGGCCTGGGGGCAAGGCAAATATATGAGCCACGGATTTACGGCTTTAAAGTGGCTGAGCGTGCCAAGTCCGGTGCCGCGCATGAAATGGCTTCGGATGAAACCGGACGATATTAACGAACTGGACGAGAGCGCTATATACCACGCATCGCACCCCGAAGGAGAGGCCGACGAGGATGCGGATATGGAGATGGGAGCGACAGAATCACCGCAACAGGCAGCTATCAACCGGAGGAAAAAAGCCCCCATACGGAGACGGAGACACCAAAACCCGGATTTAATGAATTCTAATGGTATGGGCCAAGGTCTATGAAGCACCGAGTCCGAAACGTTTTTTGTGTGTTGTGTGTGTGTGTGCTTTTGTTCTGTTTTTGTTTGAATCTCGGTTTTGCGGTTTTGCGGTTTTTGTGACCGGTATATATGTTATGTTGCCTTTGTTTTTTTTTTTTTTTTTTTCTTCTTCCCCCCCTTCTATTTGATGGAAACGGATGATGCCTCTACGTGTCTCAGTCCTTCTTGTATTCACTTTCTTTCTATTTTCTTTTCTTCTTTCCTTGGGTGTGTCTTTCTTGCCCGTAATGATCTATCCCCTCTGATTGGTTTTTCAATTTTTTTCTTTTTTATCTCCCTTGCTGTTGCTGTCTTAATTTCTGCTCATTTTCAAGATAATGTATGTATGTAGTAACTGTTTCCAGTATGTGTCTTTTGTCCGTCTTGCCCAGCTTTCTTTTCCATCCGTCCTGACACCTAGAACCAGACATGCACCCACTAATGACAGCTGCGTTAATTGTCACCTTCCCCTTTGCATATATATTTGAAGGTTTTCTACATGTGATTTTTTTCATTTCATTTCATTTTCCTTTTTTTTTTTTTTTTTTTTTTGCATCTTTTCTTGTCTTTCAGGTTCCTTTTCTTTCAAGTTTTGAGAAAATTTTTCTTTTCCTCCTCTTTCAACCAGCATCGGAACATATAACTTGTTTGTAGTTCTGTTTTATTATCGGAGGTACAAAGAGGGAGAAAATCAAAAAGGAAAAAACAAGGGCAGCGGTAAGGGTAAAAAATAAAAATATCCACCCATATATATACATATGCAGTTTTCCCGTCTTTCCATTCTCCAGGGGCCTACTCAGTTCGTAGTTGCACTTTCTCCGCAGCTGCCAGGCCCGGACGGACAGCTTTTATTGCAGATCAAGAATAGATATAAACTTGATATTAAACTGGGTTTCGTTCCCCAACTAGTTCCGGAGAAGAAAGTGGCGGAAGGTGGAAAGAGGGGCGTTTCCCTCATCGAGGGGAGGCAGGTCAGTATCTTCTTATAGTTGGAAGAAAAGGGGTTAGGGGTTAAGATCGATTATCTCTGCCCCTGATGATTCACCCTAACGTCGCGCAACCCCGTTCCCTCTCCGAGCAAGAGCAAATGCTCTATATGGGTGGCCTATGTAGATTGATGATGTATCGTGTTTTGTCTGGACTAACCTGAAATCCTAACTAGTAATAGACTAAAGATGTTTTCCTTTCTCAAACGACCTGCCTAGCAGTAACCAGCCGGCATGGAGTTGCCCGAAGTTCAGTGCCTTGATGTCCCATGTCTAAACAATTTGGCAGCAAGATCAAATTGACAAAGGGAGGGGCGTATTACTAGTATCTGAGGAGCAAATCGTGCGATGGCATATCTGTACTACTACCACGGTGTTCGGCCCAAGGACAAGGCCGCACGCTCCACTCAAATCTCGCTCAGCCTTGACAGGCGGGCCCCGAACTGAACATCACCCGAGTGTTGAGGAACAAGCTAGGAGGAGATTTTGAATTCAAGTTGATATTCCAGCAACGCAGTCCCTAGGCGATAAAATCCGACGCTTGCTCGAGCAGGGCAAGAAGGTTTTGACTTCGAATTGCATCACGGACTTTTTCTTTTTTCAATGCTTCTGGAATTGACTAATCGTGCAGCTAATTTTCGGTCTCTCGCCCTCTCGCATGTAACTTCATGCCCGGTGCGCGCCCGACCAGCCATCGACACAACCAACACCCTCCGGAGCCACTATCATGATTAGAAATTTGTATAACTATGTTGATCAACCTCAAGTAGGTCTGTGGCAACAGGAATAACGGAAGTCTCAGTAAGTGCTTCCTTCGCCCCGTATGGCGCGATCAAATACATGGTGTGTAACATCGCCCATATCGAGATCCTAGCGAAGTCTTGAAAAGGATGTATTAGATAAAGTTTCCGAATGATTGACAAGATCCATGAAGGGCTTTCGAGAAGGGTTTTTAAATAGAGGAGTATATTATATCACTAGAGAGGCTTCGAGGTTTCTAAATAAAATTTAACCATACAAGGGGAACGACTCTGGACAAGGCAAGGTCAGTGCACTGCCGATGCTGGGGTATAATATATCCGAATGCCAGAATCCAAAATCTGATGGTTTCCGGCTTCTTCCTTTTGCGGTATAAACACCGACAGATGACGTTCAGCTCGCCGTTCAATTCATTCCATTGTATTCCAGTTCTCCTTCAACTGATGGTCTGTGGAATCAGAATTGGAAGTGGAGATAGGCAAAAATTGCTGCATTCTATTGTATTTACGGCGTTTTTTGTTTTTTTTTCTTCCAAAACCACTATTTTGTATAGAGAATCAAAGAGAGAAAAAAGTGTAATCGAAATAGAACATAGTGACTATAGATAATGGTCAAATCCTACTACCAAACTACACGCAGCACGGAGTTTAATCTGTCGATGTGGATCGGAGTCCGGAGTACACACAACATTCGACCCCCTGGACAATTGGTCCGTGGCGCTCCTGAGATAGGGCCCCTTATATTTGGGGCATCTGGGTGGACCAGCAAGCCGGAAGAGCAATTCAGGATGGAAGTTGGCTACGTTCGAGCAGAGCCAGGAGTCAGAACCAAAGGAAGACAACTTAAGGTTCTAGGATATGACAGAACCGTTGTCAGCCATTCCCAATCATGTAGCTAAGCTGCTGTGCTCGGATATGCAACTGCCAGGAGATGGAGATGTTGAAGCTGAGAATATCGAGGATAATGGAGGTGATTGAACGACTGAGGACGCTAAACCCAGATGGGACGCCCCAGTGTCCAAAAAGAGTAATAATCGAGGGCTTGAACCCGCATTGCCGGATCGGGCAAGGGAGAGTTCACGTTAAACGCTCCAACCGCCAAAACCCATTCTGCAACGAGGCAATGAGAGCAAGAATTACCGCGTGAGACAGGGCTCGCTTTGCTTGGCGCTAGGCGATAAGCTGCTGGCTGTCATGCCACCTGCAGTGGATCTGATCATTGTTTGGAGGTTGGGGGCGGGATATGCATCTCAGGAGCTGAGGGTGACATGGTTGTTTGTTGGCTCCAACATGTCAAACACGGCAAGCGGATAAACCTCGGTCATGCCAGGGGCTTTGGAAATTGGTGGGTTAAGCGGGTTTGGTAGCTGGACAATAAGGTCTTCCTTCAGGTACGCTCCCTCTTCCTGCTGGGGAATCTAGGGTGGTCGGGATATTTCACAAGGAGCGCGGAGCCTCGATTTTAAGGCAGTCTAAAAATACCAGATATACCCAGCAACTGCACGTCGGCATATTTCGGAGTTACTCACACGAATAATTTCAAGTAGCTAACCTCTTCTAGCCGGGAGACATACGCCGTATATGGGCCTGCCCTTTGCGAAGCACAATGGCTCCAAGCCAAATAGACAAGGCACCTTCCACCAGGATCACCACCCTCCATTTGGTTGGACCATTGCTATTCCTGCTACCCTGTTGTTCTACAAATAGAGTACCGCCAGGCGCCATCCCATTTTTGGCCAAGGAACATGCCCAGCTCAAAGTTTCCAGAGTGGTATCGTAACAATACGATACTAGTCCAAGCCCTGGCGTTAGACTCGAAACTCAGGTCTGCAAGCCACAAAAATTACCTTATGTGCACGCAAGGCGGCGCTAGAAACGAGCCGTCTAATATCAGTATGCCCGTAGCGTGGGCAGTGGGCACGCGGGACCCCTGCGTTTGTAACGGTTGACCAGGCTGGGGGGTGTCGAGCTGTGGTCCTGCGGAGGGTCGTTTAAGTTACAATTCCGGCCTCTTGAGAGTTAGTCATAAATACCCCCTCATGCAGCTGCAGTTGCTCTCCTTCGAATTCGCCAATCTTCAGTCATATATAGTACACATCTGCATCCTCTTCTCCTTGTTCACCAATCTTTATACCGTTATATATCTACTCCGTATACCCCACTTGATTCCTAGTGATTCCATGTGATACAATCTACCTCAAATTTAATGTCTACACTTTCAGCCGTCATGAATCGGAGTACGGCCTATCCTTACACTCCTCCCCAATCTGCGCCGCAGTCGAGGTTTAATTCCAGTCACGGAACTAGTAGTGCTTTCAGTGCCAGCGCCCATCCCAACGAAGATTGGACAAAAATATCTGATCTCGCTGAACGACGGCGCATCCAAAATCGAATTGCTCAACGAAACTACCGTAAGCATATTTTCTCGTAACCTAGATTTGGCATTGAGCTGGCTGACTGATAAACAACAGGCAAGAAGCTAAAGCGACGTCTTGAAGATTTAGAAAGAAGAGCCACTTCTTCCTCTGCGTCTCCAGAGCAATCACACCAGGAGCTGAGTCTCCCAGCCCCAGCAAAATCGAAGAAGTCGAAGTCGCCTTCACGGCGGACTGGCGGCATAGAGAAAACCAAGCCTAAAAATGATCGCAACACGTCGATGAAGATGGTTCTAGCTCAACCACTTTCTTCTTACCAAAGCGAGCAGCGAGCCGCCATGTTCTCTGATCAATCAACGAGGCAGTTGTCTGCTTCTCCGCCGCTTGTCTTCGCTCCTCACTACCAACCTTGTTCTCAAAGCTACAGCTACCCACAATATCCCCAAGAATCAACATACCACCCTGCTCCAATTCCAACCACCGAACTTCCCCCCTCAGGCTACTACATACAGCCACTATCTTCGCACCCGCCTCCTGCTCAGGAACTTGTCTATTCGGAAGATGACCTTCTCACGCCATTCGGCATGAATTATGCTTCGATGGCTGGGTTTGATATCTCCGCCACTTCTGCTCCGTATCAAGATCCAAACTCCCTTGTAAGTCGGAACTAGTGCTCCAGGGTTGGCCTTTTTCCCACCCATACAGGAGATAAGAAAGCAAAGAAACACAAGAAGCTCATACTTTTGGGATTAAAGACGCCTCCCCTTCTACAATCAGACCCATATAGCCGATCGAACTCCGTCTCCCCGGGAAACTCAGTACATTGGTACCCAAAGACTCCGAAGCCCTTGATGGCTTCACCGTTATTGTCCTTTAACTAGACTACGCTCGACGGAGAAGGGAAGGGAAATAATGATGCATTGTTCTGGATGAGCGGACGCGCAAGCAGGTTTTTCTTTGCCAATATTTTAAGTTTTCTATTCTGCTTCTTCTGTTTCTGCTACCACTACTACTACCACTACACCTTTGTACTGTACATAGCGGCGAATTCCTTGCTTGGTTTACGGTGTTACATGAGCGTAATGAGCCCACATTGATTTACTGCATCGGTTCCTTTTTTCTTCTCGGCTTCTTTATTTTCCTTCTCTCTTCAATTCCCTACCTTATTCTGAAAACATATGCAACGAATTGGTGGCAAACAAAATAAGGGAGGCTGCGGTGTGGTGGGGAGGTATATTGGGTTGGCAAAGGAACAACAAATGGCGTTAATCCACCAAAATGATTCAACCAAACCATAGAGCTTAAAATACTTGCTGCTGACCGATTGTATACGGAGAAGACATCTATCTTAATAGAGAGGCTTTTGTTTGTCTGAGTAGAGATGTTCTTAGCGAATGAAATAATAGCCCACACAGTTCATCACTGCCTCTCTTTTTCTTTTTCTTTTTCTTTTTCTTTTATTTAACCTTATTATTTTTCACATTTCGGATCCGGAGTTAAAGCCCTCCGTCCGCCAAGTTCAGACGCAACCCGTGGGATGCGACCAACAGATTATCTTCAGACACGCCATATATTACCGGTCCTCAATTGAATAATGATTGTCTTTTGGACGATGAGATCATTTGAGTTTGCCTTGCAATAAACTTCATCTGCTTTTTGAGTTATTTCGGACTGTGCCCATTTGCTACGGATACGTAAATCATGCATTCTTCTTCTCCGGGCTTAAATCCAGGCTCTCGAAGGATGCACTTTTTTGCTTTGGAATCTTGCCCCTTGCCACTATTCTTCCCCGCATATACTACGAATCACATGTCACCCTGCGACGACAACAGAACAATGATCGAACACTCGAGATAGTTAGCCACTCCTCGTACGTTATTTTCGCTAGCCAGAAGTTTATTATGACGATTGCTCTCTATTTTACTCCATTACTGATTGATCAACCTCTCGGAGATATCGTATATTAGAAAACGAAAGCACATCAAATGCGGGTAGTGTCGCGCTACGCGCAAAGCGAAGCCTCTCTTGGTTAATCCCGTGGACTTTTGGTTTTTGTCCACTACTGCTTCACAAATGGTTCAGGGATGATGTGACGAGACGCTCAGCTTCGACGACTAGACCGTGTTGAGAAATAATAGCGAACGCCCTCAAAAACCGTCTCGTAATGATCCCCCTTGTTATTGGAAGGGAAAGCGATCACCATCCACGCCACGCCAAAGCATCGAAGGAACGAAGAAGATTCTTGTTGGGTTTCTCCCTCTCCATGATTTTGTTGCAGGAGCAGCAACTTGTTTGTTGTCGCCGGGTGGGGGGGGGGGGGGGGACAAGCTAATATAGAGTTATTACTGCGTATACCCCATGTAGTTATTGGTTTTGCTCTCATCGTTCTGGATATGGCTTGTCCTTCGTCCTCGCTTGTCGTTGAGAGGATGGCGTGTTGATGTATGCCCATTGACCGCCTTCTGGAACCTCGAAAAAGTGTCCGAATGAACATCACAACATGCCCTCTGCATCTTGGCCCCGGAGATACATGTACCTTCCACAAGTGAAAGGCCGGGTGCCCTTTCCT